AGCACATCACTGCTCTCTGAGTGAAAATATCCCCCCTGACGTCTAACCTAAATCTCCCCCTCTTTCACTGCAAAGCCATTCCCCCTCATCCTATCATTTTGCGCATTTTAATGTGCAGGTGCAAATTACTCAGGCATTATTCCAATATATTCCAGGTCACTTGAAAGTTACTAGTGAGAATGTAGAGATAAGGTGTGACTGTTAGCAGCAACACAGAAGTGTTTTGTTTTGTTTTTTAAAAAGAAATTTGATTTAAGATGACTTTTTTTAACTTCTTCCTTCTCTTTGAGAAAGACATTTTTTGAGCCAGTATTTTTTGCTTTTCTCATAGAAATGATCCTACCCAATTTGAGAGAAAAATTCTTTTATCAGTAAGATGGAGCCAGATCTGGGTTCACAGACTTCAGCATAATGAAATGGATTGCTACTTTCTTCCTCCCATTCCACATTTTATTTTGTAAAACAACATAGTTCTGTATTATTTTAATGCTATTTTTTTATTCCAAAGTGTTTTCTTTCTGTTTTGTTTTCTATTTGCCATTGTCTTAAACTATTTCTAGATATTGTATGTGCTGTTAGCATTGATGTAGCACATACACTATGACACGCAGTTCAAACATTCTATCACTTAAATTTTATTTTTTTTTAATTTTATTTTAAATGCAATGCAGGGTAGCTTCTCCTCAGTGCTGACTGAAATATTTTATCTTCTTTTATTTCTGTGTCAAAGCATCAAACTATCCTGTGAAAGAAAAAAAAGATGTTTTGATCAGTACTAGGCAGCAACTTAGTGGTTTTAAAAATAACACTTTTTGGTAGAATAGAAGGATATTGAAGTTGCGATATGTCATATTGTGACATGCCAGTATTAGTCAGTGCATAATTCTATTGATTAGTCATAGAGTATCAGGAAAACAAGAAGTGAGAAAACTTCCATTAAATAGAATCTGTTTCAAAACGAAAATTCCAAGCTCTAAAACTGGAAACGTCATCTCACCCTTTCTTTGTCCTCTAGATTGTCCGTTTATTGAAAAATTATTGAAATATTTGGTTTCATACTTGGATTAAAATTGAATTTCAAAATGTCTCTCTTCAGTGTGAAGAGAAGTTGTGAGTTTCAATCAGCTCTGAAATGAATGTATTGTTGGAAATACAGTCATAATACAATGTCAAGCGAATTCCTTTTTCTTGTTTGCTTTTTATTATTTTATACTGCTACACAAACATTGCATAATATTTAACACATGGAGAATTTGACTTATTTGAGATTTACTTGGAGAGATTTTATGAGCACAATTTCATTTACAATAGAATTCAAAAACTACTATGAAGTTCTATTCAGCATCTGAGGTGCAAAGCCACTTTCAAGCATATGTCTAAGTTTCTTTAGACAGGGAGAGAACTCAAACATGAGCCTACATATAAGAGGCTGATAATGCTGAAAAGACAACCACAATCCTCTGCCCTTTCCTTTCTGTTGAGATACTCGTGGTGTTGTTGCCAGCATAGTTGCACACTGTGCCAAGCTGATTAGTCTGAAAAACAACCTGACAAGAAGGAAGGTCCGTTTGGACATAAGTCAGTTCCCTGATCCGGATTGCCGTTTGGCTGCATGTATTCTTGGTGCATGAAGGCACCATGCAGAGAGAGCAGGAGTGTGCTGATGTGCGGTGGGTAAAGGCAAGAGCCAAGCCCCAGTCAGTGGCAGCATGGACTTGTGCTGGATTCAAGTAACCATGTAAGCACAGCCTAAGCCTTCAAGCTTTGTTTACTTGTGTGCGTAAGACTGTTTGGGCATACTGGTTCCTGGCTAAAAGAACAAGTACATACAACGCTGTGTGAGAGCGATGGTTACAGATAAACATATAAACATAACACCCATTTCCTCCACTCCCAAACAAACAATTCCAATGTACGTATCCTTTTGTGGCCAAAAAATGAGAGCACAGAGAATGTAAGATTTGGGGTATCGTGTGATAGGATAGCCAATGTCTATCTACCTTTAACTCTTTCTCCATCCTTCTCCGTGGCACTGCCTGGTGAATTAAAACTGTCCCCTGCCTGTGCAATACCTCATGCAGCATAAATGAATGGAGAATGCTGACATACCCAGCTGCTCTGTATATATGGGAAATGAGCTGCTGTTCTGATCAGGTAAGACCTTACAGCTGCCAAAATAACCAGAAAGATGGTTTAGTTTCACCACTGTGTGCTGGGACCACTACCTGTCAGCTGCCTGCAGATTGGTGAGGGGAAGAGAAAGTGTCATCTCAACGGTTGTTAATTTTGGCCATGTTTTGGAATTTCTAGTGACTACCAACATTTTACCCTTGGGTTCTTTACAGCTGGGACAAGTCACAAATGTCTTGCAGAATGTCTAATTCTAATAAAGATTACAATGTGAACACGCTCTCAGTTTACTCTTCTGGATCCTCTTGGCTTAGCATTTACCAGAGTAGGCCTGGAAATATTGCTTCATAAGACCAGAACTCAAAACATTTTGTCCACCGTCACACTAGAATACATTAAAGGCACTTAGAGTTATTGGTGTTAGATAACTGAATAGTCACACTGGAAACGGATTGCAGTTTTGGATTGCAGTTTTGGGTACAGTCAATCCATCCTGTTCCTGGTACTTCGCCCCTCCCCACTCCTCCAGCCTTGTCCCCAGTTATTTCTCACAGCTTCACTAAGAAGTTATTTTGTCTCTGATTTGATGCCATAATTGTCTGTGTGAATATTGCTTAACCTGTTCCAATCAAAATGAGTTTGCTGTGGCAGCAAAACTCTACTGCATAAACTGTTTAAATTAACGCAGCTTGTTTTGACTGAGCTTGGCAGATGGAAGAAGACAACAGGAGGGCAGTGACCACAGTGGCTTCTATGATGCTGACTTTGAAATGAGGTGATCAGAGCTTTTTCCCAGCTGTGCTCCTACCTCTGCTGAAGTAGGAAGCTGGAATTATAATCTCTTTATATTGTTCTGCAGAGCATTTCTTCTACAGTCTGAGCATCTTAGTGTTTTGACTGCACTCAAGCCCTGAGTCAGGATAGTGTGGATGTGGTATGCATAACCTTTTTCTGAGCTGATGCAGTTCTGGCAGTGTTCTGCAGTGAAGAAAGGCAGTTATCCCTGCATTGTGCATTATTTATGAGTATTAACTTTTCTTGGCATCATACAGCTATTGTCCATCCTTTTGGAAAATCTTATTGCCTGACTAAGCTAGATGAGTATACGCTATTTGGAAATTTTGTTGCCTCCTTGCATAATTCCCTTTCCAGGTCACTAATGCTTATATTTAAAGACAGCACCCCTAGTGTGGCACTGGAAAAGCCTCACTGCCAACTTTGACCATGAGGAAAATTGACTATTGACTTTCATGTTATTGGTTTTTCACTTTTAGATAATTTTTGCTGCATGGGGGAACCTGGTCTTACAGCCTAGAATATTTTCTGACTGCAGATCATGGACACCTGAGTAAAAGTCATTGTTTTACAATGGAGTGGAGACCCTTGGCAGGTCAGCTAAAGTACTGCCTCATAGAGCAACAGTGACTCAACCGCGTCTGCCTCACACTGGTGGTGACTTCAGCAGGACCTCCGTTGGCACTCTTTTGAGTATTAGAAAACCTTGTCAGGGAGTTCTGCAGTGTCTTTGCTTGGAAAGAGACAACAAATGATTTTTGTGAGACAGAAATAAATTTTGTTAGAAATGGTCAAGTCTGAGTGAGCTTCCTGTGGACATCTTGTTCTCTTTTTGCGTTATTTTAAGCTACTGTAAGACTTTGTGGTCTTTAACTCAGCTAAAAAGATACAGTTCTGTGCTGTCTTCCCAGCTGTTGAATGAATGAATATTTTCAATGAGGTTCCTAAATTTCCTCCTGACTTCCTCCAGAAGGTAAACATAGAAAGTGGGTCCTTTTTGAACCCATTCTCGTGCCCTAGCACAAGTCACTGTTATCGACACATTCATCGCCTTGTCAACTGGAGCTAGAGTTGAAAAATGCAGATTTTGCATAGGTGTCTTTTTATCTCCTCAACATCTCTAGTGCTAAAGATTTCTGCAAAGGAATATCTTAGCTTTTCAGAAATGTAGCATCTATCTGGATTGTTTCCCTAAAGACTCACCAATATAGCAAGTGCCAAGGTTACTTCACATGTTTCTTGATTCAGATCTCATTCCAGAACCTCATTTCAAGATTCAGACACACTAAGGTAATAATATATATGTTAACGCAAAGTGATGTCCAGAGAGAGTGGGCCTGCGAAACAGAACAGTTGATGCTGATGAAAAAGCAAAACCCTCACACACCACAAAACTCAAGAGGATTTTATTTTGGATTTGGTGTGGCCTGGTCCCATTGAGTGACCACTACCTAGTGATTGGAGCACACTCAGTGCACTGCATTTTCTGCTTTAATTTCATTCAAGAAGAACCTAGTTTGTCTGCTCTGAGATACGAATAAAACATATTGAGTAAAGACAGTAAGATTTACTTAAAAAGTATGCTCCCGATCTGAACTGAAGTACTAAAGTAGACAAAGCCTGGAAGTACCTCTAGTTGATTTGTTTTAATACTCGGGCTATCTATTTTTCAAATTCAGTTTTGGCTGTCCTTTCATTTTTTTGCTCATAGTCATTTATCATTGCCTTCATTATGAGTGTTTCCAAATACAAAACTGCATGTTGGTCAGGCCTGAAAAGCCTCTTGAATCTTCCCATTTAGCTGTGTATTGTTTCCTTGGAACCTTTTATTAATGAACTACTATTGGTGATGTTTCTGTGTTGACTCCAGGTGGCTCGTTACTTTTCCCTTTCTAATTTCAATGACTTGTAAGTCTGAACACAGTACCTCTCCAGTTCCACCCCCACCCTCTTGTACTTCATGTAGCAATTATACATTTATGAATGCATTTGTCATTGTTGGTTATCTAGGACTTACAACATGCTTGTTTCACAAGTGTCATTTCAACTGTATTGTTCCTTAGGTCCTTGTTCTCATTTGCTTGGAAGCAAGACAGAACAAGCAATTACTGTCAGCTGCTTTCGGACTGGCTTTCTGAACTATTCCAGGAGATGGAGTAGAGCTGACGCACTCACCTTGATGAAGAACCTCACTGAAGGTTTGCATTTTATATGTGGTATCACAGCACTGTGAAGGATGCATATGGGGAAGGCAGTTTAGTAGTCAGGTGACAGGAAAAGTCATCTGAAAGTCAAATAGCCAGAAGTGGATTGAGAACTTCTTAACTGAGTGCCATTTATTCTAATGATAAGGTCATAAAAGAGATTTGGAACTAGACCTTACTGGCTCTCTGTCACCACAGTGCTTTTAAAGTTCACTTTAAATATTGCACATATTCATTTTGTGGGTATGTTTGTATATTCCAGCCTGGCAGTTACATGCACATTTAGATGGCTGATTATATGTGAACAATTCACTGAGTTATTGTCTCATTTGTGCTCAGCGACTAGGAAACTGCAGACAGGTATTATTAAATGAACTGGATTCTTTACTGAAAAATCATTATAATCCTGTTATCTTTTGTAGTCTGTAAAATCAAGAAGCACATCAGCTGCCTAAAAGAAGCCTAAATTTGTAGTCCCATATTCAGCCATAATTAATATCAAATAAAACTGGCTAACTATGAACCTGCCCAGTAGAGCAGCTTAGCTAAAGTCTTTCTGGTGTACATAAGAACATTTTGTGAGCATGTGTGACTTGATTCTCATGGATGCTGCGCACCACTCAGAAAGAGACCCTTCCTCAGATCCCTTCCCCACTCTGCGTGCTGTCATTCATGCCAGGGTGAATGCTTTCTGCAGCTTAGTGGTGGAGCTGAGCCTTGCTACTGTAAGATTATTTGTGCATCAAGCACAGGGGGCTGCAGGGTGAGGTGGGTAATTTGGGTTCCCTCTGTTCTTTCTTTGCCCTCTGTAGGTACCAGTGTGTCTTTCGATCTAATTCCTGGTAGTGCTGTCCCAGCTTTGTTGAACATGCTCAGCTGCTACTTATGGCTCAGCAGGCAGAGAGATGTAGAGCAGATAAGGCGTGCCTTGTTTACTCCTTAACCAAATGGCTGTACCAAAAGGAAGTGGTGCTGCTTCAGGTTCTGCAAGCTGCTCCTCAGACTGTGGGCTTCACAGGGTCGTCCATCTTGGCTGAACATTACAAGGGCTTCAATGGGAAACCTATCATGGCCTCAGATTTCCTTTACAACTGAGCCTTTACTAAGGCAAAATTGAATGTCTGTTAATTGCTTCTTTATGGCCTGATAAATAGCTCTTGTGGCAAATGGATTATGGTTTGCTAATGCTGGATTATTTCTTTTTCTTTTTTTCTTTTTTTCTTTTTTTATTTATTGTGTGAAATTTCAGGCCTTATATCCCCTCTGTTAGCTGGAGGGTTTTCTAAATGAATGAGGTATCACTCGAGGGTGAAACCTAAACTACTTCTCCCCTCCCTTACCCCCAAGGAGGGGGGACTAGTTGGATTAAGCTAATCCTCTTGACTTGAAACCTCATTGACTTGGATATTAAAGGACATTCCAGATGGGACCACACTAGGAGCTCCGTGCTCTGTTTTGAGCATTGCAGAATGGGCCTCTTCTCACTTCAATTTTTTCTTGTAATGTGGGCTGTACAGCGCTGTAGGGCAATGTTTGACCTAAAAATGAAGGAATTATTTTCATATGTCCCCAAGAGTGGCACTTTCAGCCATTGGTGAACTAGTGTCATCTTAAAACAATTGATTAGAAGAAGCGGTGGCATCTTTCCCAGAAACTGTACTCCCTGGCATGAAACCATAGGAAGTTTCCTTGATGTAATAGGCTGCATGTGGGAACTGTGAGGGTACAGTGGGTAAGTTGAGTTTGGATGGCTTTCAACTATCTGAACCTAGGAAATTAGCTGGGAACTGCCCGCATCTGAGTCGATCAGTGCAGACAGTGAGTAGAAATGAATGGAGTTGGACTACAAACAGGCTGTTTTATTATTACCATGGCTATTATTTTTAATTTTAATTATTTATTTATAATGTTTCCCTGAGCTAACTGAGTCATATGCTCTGGACATCCCTCTGACCAGATGACTTACTTGTCAGGTGTGGGCTAATAGAAAGAGCTGAGAGGGTTTTAGGTCTTTGGTTTGTCTGCATGGCCTAGGGCAGCCTTAAGGCTATAAATTGAGGTGTGCAGGGCAGGAATGTCTCCAGAAACTGCATCTACTGAACACCAGTAGTTTTGTGGTTGAAACCAGCGTGGTTCTGCTGCCTTGAGATGGGTACTTCCTTCAACATAGAAGCAGACATTCCCTTGCTTCACAAAGTGTCATCCACATTTATGGTGTCAAGCAAATAATGTAGAACAGCCCCTTGAGGTGTTTTCATGGCACTTGTGAGTAATGGGAGAGCTGCAGGCGGACAACACAATTGTTCTCTCTGCACCCACCACAAGTTGGTACAAACTGATGCCAGTGTATCTGGGCCACAGCGAAGCAGGGGTGATGTTTTTGGCTGGGACAACATGGTATGTGTAATCCTAAAATAAGATTTACTCTGCTAAACATTTAGATTCCCTTATTGGGACTGTTGAGAAAACAGAAGCTTAATCTCCAGGGAAGCACAACATTTCCACAAGGCTGAGCCACCTTCCTTTACTCCCTCCTTCCCTCTTTGCTCCCTCCTCCCATCGTCTGCCTCACAGCATGCAGCAGAGTGAGTTCAAAAGCACACACTGCGCAGAGAAAGTGAAACTGTCAGTGCTTCAAAACGGGTAGCCCAGTGTAGTAAAACGTGGTAAAGTCTAGCTGCAGGCAGCAAGGCAGGGAGTTAGCCTCGTGCTGCTAAGAAATAGATGTGTTTTCCAACAGAAAGAAAATTGTAAATCTCTGTGACATGACAAGAATCCTCTCTGGGATGGAAATACATTTATTAGGGCTGCACAGCATCTTGTCTCTTCGGCCTCTGCCTGTGTTCACATCGCAGTGATTGGACCAGGTTGTAAGAAGCATAGGTGGAGGGGAAGTGCTGTTTGGTTCTCAGGGGGTGCAGCTGCCTTTCTGGGGGCACAGCTCGCCTCTGAGCTCTCTGTTTGCTTCGACTCCTCGTGGTGGGGCAGCTGGGCAGAGAGAGTTTGGGGAGCTGTGTTTGGGGATCTGTGTCTGGAGAGTGAGGCTGACTCTAATATTCTGCTTGGATGCAGTGCTTAGTTGGCACATCTCTGATGGTCTATACAGAGCGTGTTGTGGTAATCGTCTTGCAGGTGCTGAGGTGAATGCGTGCAAATGCAACACTTTTTGTCTTCTCTTGCTCCTCCTTTTGCTGGGCCAAAGCAGTGAGCTGGCCTCCTCTCCTAGATGAGCTGGGCTCAACCCTGCCCCTCTGGTCAGAGAAACGTTATGAACAGCAATGTTGAACTGGATAATGCTTCCTAGTCCAGATTGACTCATAGGGTTTGGGGTTGCACTGTCTTCAGAAGTTTTCTTTTCAAGTTATTTTCATGCCATTACAGCCCAAGAAAGCACCAAGCTTACAAGATGGATGATTCCATAAGATATAACGTTGACTTGAACTCTCATCTGACTGCTTATGGGATTTGCAATCCCTGAACTCCATAAATACTTCACTCTGATTCACTTTTGACCTAAACCTTATCTAGAGGCCTGAATCCTCCCCAAGGCGAGCTCTCTGCCAAACTCAGGCAATGGAAACTTTAGGTTACTTGGAGACATGAATATGGACTCACCACAGCTGCAGACCAGCACTTTATTCCTGAATCTGCCTCTTTTCGTTGAAGGCTACAAACAAGACTGAAAAAATAAGGCTGTCCTTGGAAAGGATGTGTGTTTCCATTTGTCCTTATCTTCACTAGCATAGCTGCCTAATGTCCAGAGAATGATCTTGTTCTTTTCAAAAAGATGTTTGTGCTGTTTTTCACAATGGCTTTCTGTTGCAGAAAATTCCCCAGACTGGCTCTGGAGCTCTTTGAGAATCACTTCCTTTTGCTAGTTCCAAATCTATGGAACCATAATCTCATCAAGTGTGTGCTTGTTGCTCTTGTATGGTATTATGGTGCTCGGTAACGTGGGTATTAATGTGGGTATTACTGTCTTCTGATCAGCAACAAAGCACAAATCTGTTGAGTAGCAAATTATTTTCTCCATTTGAATGGAGTTTTTCAATCTTTCTGTAATCCTTGTTTTAAATCTCATCAACCGAACAATGTTGGGTTTTTTTGTGTGTGTGTGTTTTTTTGTTGTTGTTTTGTTTTGTTTTTGTTTTTAATTATAATTTATATCTAGAAAAAATTGAAATCTAGAAAATGACAGTTTTCTCCAGGAAAAGTGGAAAGTTACAAAAATGCCATCAATTTGCAATAGTGAAGTGGGTCCATGTCATCTTACATACCTGTACATACTCATGCATCATTTTTCAAAAGTATCAGATTGGAAGTCCTTAATTAAATTGCTTTTGATTAAACTTGCAGCTAAATCTGTTTCTGACCAAACTGCATGGGCTAAAGGCAAGCTGTCTGGAAGCTGTCTGCTTTGCACTTCAAAAAGGCCATAAAGAGCAAATCTCAATTTTTGAAGCAATTGGATGTGAAATTAAACTGTAGATTCGGCTCATTGCAATGTCAATTTAATGGGGAATAGGTCAAACAAAGAAAGAGTTTCTGAACCCAAAGCTTAAGCTAGGTTTCTCTTCACTCAGAGAGCTTGTTCTTCCCCTTTTGTACACTAGACTTGTTGGCTTAGATGTGTCACATAAAATAACTGTGAAAAAGCTATCCTGACATCTAGATCAGTTATGCACACAGCTTCTCTGCTGACTGAGAACAAGTCCTGGGTAATTTCAACCATGGTGTAAATTTCATGTTAGCAATGAGCAGAAGTTGGCAAAACTGTCATAGTGAGCATGATCCACTGTTTTTTCTTGCCCTGTTTAATGCCCTTCCACTGGTTGTTTCTGTTTTAACTCAATCCTTTCATTTTTACAATACAATAGTTATAACCAGTTTGGGGTTAAAGCATAAACTCCATCATATCTGTGGTCTCAGGCCCTGAAACCATGACGACGAGCAGCCTCAAGACCTGAATCTAGGATTTATCAAAACAGTGCTCT